ATATATATGTATATTCTCTTGGTGATGTACATCATTTAGTGTTTCATGGTGTTTGGTTTGGGTTTTTTTCTCCTCTAGTTGGTTACCCTAAAGAAGAAAGATTTGCTGGGAGACCAACAGAAAGAACCAGTGGGCTGTATGATTTGCTGAAATCAAAATGTTCAATGGGCTTTCATGCAGGATGGGAGCAACCGCATTGGTTCTACAAACCTGGAGATGAGACTGGATACAGGTAAATAAAAGATTACCCTTCCCCCGTCCTCTGATAAATTGTCATGACAGCAAGGGTCAACTGAGTTAAATTTAGTAAGAAGAATATATTTATCATTCATTTCAGCTAAATGTATCTGTTAGGTAGATCTTTGATGATTGTTTTTTTCTATAGTTTAGAATCTATTTGATTCTGATAATGCAGACATTTAAAAGCACACATTGAGGTATCCTGTAACTCTTCTAGGTATGGGCCATCAGAGAGCAGCCTAGCTCAAGGAAAATATTAAAGAACAATTTATTCATTATAAATTTGTATTTTTATCCCTTTCTTTTTATTTGATCAGCAGCACAGTATAAAGTTTTCATGAGAAAACTGATTCCTCTCTGTATAATTCTCATGGAAGGAGAAGTTCAGTCCCCATTTCTTTTTTTTTTTTTCTTTTCTGTGCCTGCCTATGTAGTTACCTGCTTGCATCAGGAAGCATCCAGCAAATACATGTTTTCCACAGGAATACTGGAGTCCCAATCTAAATGAGGCTCATAAAGGAATAAAGAGACATACTCTGCTGTTCAGAAATAAAGCCTTTGACACCTTAAACTCAAATAAATGATTCAGCAACAAAGTATGCAGCAGATTAACACATGACAGACTACTGCTTCTAACATTTGAACAGTTTGCAGTTTATTGTACAAAATGGTTGATAAAATATCAACCCATATCTTTCTCTGTTGTCGAAGGATTTTAATAATTAAGCTATATTAGACCAAGGAAAATACTGAGTAAGCTACCTACAAATAGGGAAGTCTGTCTCTTTTGAATGAGTATTAAACTGAAGAAACTGAAGACTATATTTTGCTGAAAACAGCACGAAATTTCCAAATTGTGTTTTATGTGTGTAAATGCTCTGTTTCAGACCCAGTTTTCGACGCACAAACTGGTTTGACCCTGTGGGTCGTGAGTATAAACAGGTTATGGAAAAAGTCGGTGTGATTGACCTGTCACCATTTGGCAAGTTTAAAGTAAAAGGAACAGATTCTGTTAAGCTGCTGGATCATCTATTTGCAAATGTTGTTCCAAAGGTAAATGGGACAGTGATAACTGTTTTAATGTAGGATTTAGACAAACAAGATGTGTTTCAGAAATCGAAAATGAAGCATAATATTATTGCCGTATCTTTCAGATACCAAATACTCAGAGCCTTTGGAGAAACTGCTGTGTCAGGAGATGTATTTCACTAATTCAAGAGCATGGACAGTGGATTTTGTACTAGAGTAGCCCCATTGTAGAAGTAGCTTTAGGCACAGATCATTGAATCATAGAATGGCTGAAGTTGGAAGTGACCTCTGGAGGTCACCTTGTCCAATCCCCTGTTCAAGCAGATCACCTGGAGCTTGTTGCCCAGGACTATGTCCAGATGGCTTTTAAATATCTCCAAGGATGGAGACTCCACCAGTTCTCTGGGCAACTTGTTCCTGTGCTCAGTCACCTTTACAGTAAAAAAAGTGTTTCCTTGAAACACTGAACCTTCTGTGTTGCAAATCTTTGTCTAAAGAAGTCTACGTGTATCTCACCTGGAATTCTTTTGCAGTAGTACTAGAATAGCTTGGCAGCTCCCTGCCTAAAACCGTGCAGTACTGTGGCAGCTTCAGGCCGCAGAGGAGAGCAGTGCAAGGTGCTCTTGCCTTACCATAGCTGGGCTGTGTTCTCCCTGGATGCCCAAGGCAACAGTTTTGTTGGTTTGGTTTGGTTTGTTTTTTTTAAATGTGACCCATGCTTATTTTTGACCCCCCTCATACTGACTCTGGTTTACAGCTGGATGCCTGAAGCAGGCAGGGTGGCAAATATTCAGGATGTTCAGCTGTCAGCTAACACCTGTTGTTTCTCCACAAATGTGTCTGCTCACAGATCCTCAGAATATGATTGTGTTTTCAAAAATGGCACACTATGGCAAACTACCCCAGGTTTCTTGGTTTTGGTCCTCAGTTTATGGTAGTGCTCCATCAGTCCCTTCGTCTTCCTGCTTTGTCAACCTCTCTCATCTAGTGTTTTTAACTTCTGAGATACACCCCCAGCAAGCAGATTGTTCCTTTCTGAAGTGCTACCAGCTGTGGGGTTTGCTCATTTCAGCACAGAATTTAATTAAGTTTTTGCTGTAGGTGGTGATTTTAGCTACTTCAGACACCAGAGGGAGGAAACATAGGGAAACAGCAGGTACGTTGAGACTGTAGTTATGAAGGTAGATAATAATGTCTCAGAGGTCAGAGCCAGCTGAATGGGAAAGTTGTGCACAAGAATGGTGTCCTATAGGTTCAGGAGGAAGAAGAACCTGAATTGCCATGTAGTCATATCTTTCGCTGTATTAATTTTGTGATAGCAATGCAGATTAAAATTTTGTCTTCTTTCTAGCTTGGGGTAGAGGTGGGGTAACTCTGTCATCAGTGGGCATGAATAATGCTTGCTGAATATATTTATGTGGTGGTGGAAAAGCAAGATTAAATAGGGAATTATGAGAACAAAGTGAGTGCTTTCTACGGAGTTTAATCAGCGTTGCAAGGGGGAAAAAGAAAGGTAGACAGCAAAATAGAATGAACAGTTTATGATTCCATTTAAAAATCCAGCATTCACAACAGCTGATGGTTTAAGATGTCTGATTTTTGGTACCATTCATTCTTGTCTGCATCAGAAAATAATGTGAAATCAGTGAAGTTACTGGGCATGTACTTGTATCACAACCAGATTGAGTGTGACTACCACCAGATTCTGAAAATTCAATTACGTGCCTGTAATATGCCAGTCACTGTATTAATACCGTATGACCTTGCAAAAGAATGTTAATATCTGCAGTATTTTTCCTGCTTCCATTCATTGTCCAGAATCTGGGCACTGACTGGGTGATTGACAAAGTTCTCAAAAAAGCAGAATGAAATAAGAGAGATTAAATTCTGCTTCTGGAATCAAACCAGCACAACAGCTATGGCACATTTGTATTTCTGGTTTATGGATGATATCTGTATGAATATGTATGTGTTTTATGGTCACAGCTAAGTAACTGTTATGTGAAATTTTGCTTCTAGAGATCACTTTTCTACAGAGAACCCGATTCAAATGTACAGAGTACTCATAGTCAGCAACTACATAAAATATAAAACATACATAAATCAGGGCTACAAAAGCATAAGCCAACTCAGTATTTATTTAATGTAAAAGGCAAAGTAATGTTATCCTTTTGGGATCTGAAAGCCTTATTCATATGATTGAAGAAGAATGCTTACGTCAATAACACATAGAATTTTTTATTCTGATGATCAGAGAACAGACTGAAATTGATTGCATTGGCATTGAAAATGCATTCTTAAATCAAATGTAGCTTATTACCTTGTGTAATATATAATTAGAAATTTTTTATAGAGGTCTTGGTTTCATGTCATTTTAAAAACTTCATTTTTTTCTATGACGAAAAATGTGAAATTTCCCTGTAAAGCTTAAGCTTGGCCAATTGTGTATCTATCTCCTCCTATTATGGTATAGCAGAACAAACATAAAAATGTTTTTATTTCAAGTAAAGACATATTTCTATGTATTTCATAATTTTTAAGAATTCAAAGGTTTTATTTTGAGTTCTTAATAATTGCAAATTTTACTCGGTAGGTGGGTTCCACAAATATAAGCCATATGTTAACACCAAGAGGAAAAGTTTATGCTGAGCTAACAGTCTCTCAACTGTATCCTGGAGAATTTATGCTTGTAACTGGCTCGGGGTCAGAACTCCATGATCTGAGGTTAGTTTATTTTTTATACAATAAGTACACAGTGCTATATAGTCACATTAATATAGAAACCTTTTTACTAGGTGCCAAATTCTTAATTATTACTCAACAAACTTTTTACTAGGTTCAAGAGAATTCTACTTATTTATTGATTTTGGTTTCTTAGAAACTTGGTCGAGTTGAATCCTGAAGTACAAGCAGTTGCATGTTGGATTATTGTTGGTGTAAAAAGATGGAGGATTTACTGATAGTTATGTAATACACTTTAATGGAGGTAGTTCTTGTTGCGTCGTTGAACCTCTTTGGCATTGTATGATGGAACACAGCATGGTTGTTCCTTTCTAGTGTTTTCTCTTACGCAAAAAAGAAAATTTGCTTTAAACATGTATGACCCCACAGGCACTGACCTGGCTGATAGAGATGGTTTGTGCAGTCTTCTAATACTGTGATAAAGTCTTCTGCTTTGGGCTCTGGGGTCACAAAACAAAACAACAGAAAGAGAGGAGGTAGAAGCAGTTGCAGATGACTTCATTAAAATGCCTTTCATAGATGAGCATTGGAAGTGACATTCCTAGTGCTATAAGTGGCTGTACATACATACTAAGAAAAATATATTTTCCTACTGGAGGTTGCTGACAAATCAGTTACTCAAGATGAATCAACACATAAAAGATGGAAATTTGCTATCTCAACACACAGTGAATGATGTACTGTTTCATAACAGTCCCATGGGAATCAGTAGGACCATTGGCACTTTCAGGAAACAAATGTGAGAACCACACCTAATGCATTTACAGAATTTTAGCCATCCTGTTTGGTACTCCTCTGTGGCTGAGATGTTTTAACATTTCTTAATAAAGTAATACCTTATAAGATTTTTAAATATACTCCTTTAATTTATTTTGTGAGTTTCCTGAAAGACAATAACCAGCTGGTGTTTTTGATTAAATCAAAACTCAAACTGGACTTCTGAGAATACTTTAAATGCTGTATTCAGGAAGGAACAAGCCTGGTTGTACATTTATGTTAGCAGAGGAATTTATTTGAGATTTCTTATATTCATTGTGTTTATTGCTTACTCTTTTTGTATGTTGACTTTTTATTAAAACATTCTGGATCAAAAGGCAAATCTATGTTCAGTTCTGAGATCTCTTCTTTCTCCTGCCTTGAAAATACTGTTCCACTAATTTAAATTTTGTCCTTTCCTGGCTTTATCTCAGATGCCTGTGTACCTGTACCAGTACGTCAACAGAAAACGCTGTTTAACATCACTAATGGTTTTGACTATCTAGTGGAGCACATACTTACGTTGGTTTTGAGAAGGTGTGGGACTGGGAGCTCTTGTGAAGATTAACATAACAAAAAATTATTCCCTTTTAATCTTTATATAAATCAGTTATTTTTTCAATAAAAAATTAACATCGCTGTTGTATTTTACATGCAGATGGATAGAAGACGAAGTTACAAGAGGTGGATATAAAGTCGAAATAGAAAACATGACAGATGAGATGGGTGTACTTGGTGTAGCAGGTCCATATGCCCGACAGATCCTCCAAAAGTTGACAACTGAGGATCTGAGTGATGGTTCATTTAAGTTTCTCCAGTCTAGACATTTGAAACTTTCTGATATTGCTGTTACTGCCATTAGGATATCGTACACAGGTAAGCAATAGAAAAAACAGACTCTAAAGCAAAGATGCAATAAATAAAATAATAAGTGTAACTAAAATTATGTTGAAAAATAAATCTTACGTATTCATAAGCAATAGGTTAATCACATTTTATATATAAATGTGTGAGGAAATGCAGTACATTGATTTTCAAATGTGATCTGGTCAGGGTCTGTGCTGAGTTTTCCAAGACCTTTTTCTCTAGAATACCCTATAGTGTAAATATTTATTTTACAGAACAAAAGGCCAGATCTGATAACCTCTGTGGTATTTGCTGCAAAACCAACGTCAAGAATTGTTTTTGGATTACCGTATATTAATGTTTGTCAAGTGCCTTGAAAATGTAATGCTGAGTATTTGTTTTCCTGAGTTACTTTTTATTTTTATTTCTTTTTATGTTTATCTGTACTGCAATGGACTGAATTCTGACCATTCTGAAGCAGATTAGGTCCTTCTCTTTCTATTGTACCAAATGTGATACAATGTACTAATTTTATATTTACTTACGGTCAGTTACATTTGGTCACTTGCTAAGCCATCATCTGGGCATTTATAATGCCCATAAGCTTCATCTCACATTGTGACTTCACTACATGACCTTTTCTTATCAGTTGTTCTGATTCCTCACCCCTCACCTCCTATTTCAATTAACAGTTTAAATTAGAATAATAAAACCACTGCTTAAGATCTTGGTGGTTCTCACAGGGAATTTAACTTGATACATGGTAGCAGAATTGACCCGAGAATGTGAATTAACGCTTAACAGCATGGATCCCCACTTTTACCAAGAATAAGACTGTATTTATTAGGATTGTTTTATTGTTTAGCTGATGAAACAGTTAATCTTGTTTGTTTAACAGGTGAATTGGGCTGGGAGCTCTATCACAGGAAAGAAGATTCTGTAGCTCTTTACAGTGCAATTATGGAAGCTGGCCAAAAAGAGGGAATTGACAACTTTGGAACATATGCCCTGAATGCTTTAAGGCTGGAAAAAGGTTTCCGAGCCTGGGGGGCTGAGGTTAGGAAAAAGAACTTCTTTATTATTCTTTCTGTTTATTTTCTTTATTTCATTATGACTATACTGCTTTTAGTCAGGGCTAGCTCAGGCAGTGTTTGTTCCAGTTTCTCAATTTGGCATGAAAGAAAATTTATCTTGAGCAGGAAAAGCTGCTATAATTCTGAACAGTGCCTTTTGTAAATAAAAATAACTAGCATACTCCATTACACTGCTGGCAAAGAAACTCTTATTTTGATTCACTGCTGTTTTTTCCTCTTGTGTATAACAAAATTATGAGGATTTTGCTGAGCTCTAGTGCTTTGAAATCAAAGGTTTGGCTGATAGATTCTGAAAATGTTTTATTTCTGTAATAATTATGTCATGAGAGGCCAATTATTCTTGCTTCATAATGTATTTGTAACTTTTTCATTTCCCATTAGCTTGTTTCTGCCTAATTTTCTCACTCACAATATAGAACTACTAAGGGGACCTAGAGAATTTGGGGAAAATCAGTGTAATTTCTGCTTACCTGAAAATTTCCTAATTCCTTTGGAAAGAAAGGAATTCAAGAAGGTGAAATAGTGGGCATTTAGCTTTGTGTTTTGTTTTCCTCCCCAACTAAGGCATTCTTCAGTGTTGCAATTAATGTGCATACCTCAGTTATTCAATCTCTTGCAAGTTCCATTCTGCTTTGATGAAAAGTTTTGTTTCTTACTGAAATATCTTACTGTGTTTACTTTGCATATTGAAACTTAGATGAATGATTTACATATCTATACTTCATATTAGGCATAATAGATATTCTGTTGAAATCACACATAGGAAGCACACAGTGTATTCAGATGGAGGCTGCACAACTTGGAAGACATTGACCAGGCGTAAAGAGAAGGCTACATGAAATAACTAAATAAATACCCCCTGCACCCCAGTCCAAAAGCTATGACAGTCCATCGATACAGATGGTGAATTTTTTTTTTTTAACAGATGAACTGCGACACTAATCCCTTGGAAGCTGGACTGGAATACTTTGTAAAGCTAAACAAGGTATGTCTTACTGTTTTCAAAGTGTTCTATTATGCCCAAGGTTATTCCTTTAAGTGTTTGAAAATAAAAAGTGTAATTATCGGTATAGTATCTATATACAAGCTGAACAAGCCTGTTCATATTGTGAAAACATTTTATCTGCTTATCCTTGTTAAATGAGTTGTCTGAAGGATCATTTTCACTGGCTACCACTCTGGTACAGCAGTTACTGAAAAAAACCCAGTAGATTTTTCAGAACTGCTGACCAACAACTTGGATATGAGTCAAATGTAAGTTAAATTAATATCTTGGTTAAAAAAAAAATTATAATTAGTTGTTCATAGAATTTTTGAAGAGGTCCTCTGTTCACAACCTACCTGATTTGAAATTTAGAGAACTGGACTAGTTGAATTTAAATATGCAGTAAGAATGAAAAGATGTTATTCTGTCTCCTTTTATCAGCATCTTCATTTTCTTATATTCATATTTTAGCAAATCAAACTCTGTTATAGATACAGAAATTGCTTTCAATGATCTTTTCTGGTCCAAATGAAGTCCAAACCCACTGTCCTTACTCTGTCAACTAGAGGACCTTTCCATGAAACCCGGTGAAAGAGCTGCCTGTGCAGTTCTAATGCCATCTGTTGCTACCAGTTAGCCCATCAACTTAAACAGCAGTTGCCTGCACAGTGGATGTGAGGTTTCTAATGTAAATATCAGGTCCTCTACATTTCAAGTTAGGTGCCCTTAATGAGAGGATATTTCTGACTTAATCTTTTGCCTCAGTTTTTAATCTGTAAAATAGAGTAAGTGACAACATTTTTACATAAGGGAGGTCAAGAAGAAAAAGTAATGTTTGTGAGGCATTTAATCTTTACAATGATTTAATGTGATACAGGGACAAATTCTCTTCTTATTTATATTCCCTTTATACCTGAGAAGGTAATAAATTGCATAATAAATGACCTTTGATATTTTTTGCCATATTATGTGGAGGCACTGTGGAACTGATAAAAGGAATCCCAAACCTGAAGTTAGAGCTCCAAGTAAACAACAAATCTTAAACTTCGGGTAAGCAAGAATTACGGAGGCATGTTAAACCTGAAAAGGTACTTTTATATTTATGAGACAGTTTCACCAACAGTAACAGAGATGAACCCAGGAAGCTGCTTTTCTTCTCCAACTGTTGAACCTGTCTATAGATATTAAAAGTTCTTCACCCTGTGCAGGATTGATAAAACATTCATTTTTGACCTACAAACATCAGTATGTGCTCTATGATAAAACAGAAGTTCTAAACTTGTTCTTCACCAACTATGGAGCTCATAAGTGGGAGGGCAAAGTGTTCCCAGGGATGTCAGTGGCAGTTCTTACATGTAGTGGAGGTACAGCTGTCTCGGTTGGGTACTGTAATTTTGCCCTCATCAGAGAAAATTACACATACAAGGGAATACAGAATCTTACGGAACATGATTATGTTGTATTTACTCATCAAGGACTTTCCCTTCTTGAGGAGAGTATTAGAAGGATTATGGGAAATGCATTGAAAAATGGTATTGTTTCTAGTTTTTTTTTCCACTTCCATTTGATACATCTGGGTTTTTTGGTTTTTTTGTTGGGTTGGTTTTTTTGGGGGAGGGAGGGGCGTTGTTTGTTTTGGTTGGTTGGTTGGTTTAGGAAAGCTGTCCCTTGCCAAGATGCCCACGCAGAACATGCAAAGGCGCTAATGTGTGTGAAGTACTTGGTTCTTTATTGCTCTACACACTTCTTTGCATGGTTGAACTGCAGGGTTGGAACAGCTCTCTGGCACAGATATTCACGTGGTAGATGAATGGGCATGGAATGAATCTCCAGCATAGATTCAGGATGTCAGCCTAAAACTTTTGCCAGTTGTGCTGAACTAACGTGGAAAAGGAAATAATCAATGTTTATTTATTGACTTAAATGAGGGCAGTTGTGCCTCTGTGTTGACACTGCAGAGCTACTTGAGCTAACTCACATATTGGAAGAGGTCTAAATACTGTATCATCAAGTGCAATGCGAGATTATTTACTCTGCTTCTTGGCAGCTTGAGGCTGAGTCCCAATTCCATGCCTCTGGTTTTGGTGTCTGTTTGGCATACCATAGACCTTAGCTTTCATTAGAGGCCACCATGACTGAAGGCAAGCAAAATACTCTGTTACCATCTGCTTATATTATTAAGGAAACTTTCTGCAAAAAAAGGGCAAATGGGATACAAACTGCAAGCAACAGGTACTTAAATCCGTTGGACAGCTTGGTCTGTAGGGTTACTGACAGGGATTGTTCCTTTAAGTATGCGCCCCCAACTGGGGAAAGTGCTAATTTCTGTGTAAATTAAAGCCAAAATGCACTGCTCAGGTAGATACTAAAGTGCTTCTTACCGTGCAACAGGCAGCTGAAATAGTTCACCAAATGGGCAAAAAGACCTCAGCATAAGTGAATTTCAAGTGGTATGTCATGGAAAACATAAACAGTTTCATAGAACCATAGAATCATAGAATGGTT